TATAACGTATTGTCACATACTTAAAATATTCGTTGGGGCAGTGGGGTAGGTTGATGGTTTATGTCTTGGCTCAGCACGCCCACGACACAGAGGTACGGTGTCGGGCTAACAACAATTCTAAGTCACTGATCAGTCACCCGATCCATTAAGTCGCCTCGTATAAACAACACAGGTTACTGGAGAACATTTCTAACCTTGATGTACTGCAAACATGACGTTGACGGCACCAGTAGGGGGTGACAATATCTTGGCAATATCTTGGTTCAGAATGTGTCCCTACCGTAAAAATTCCATATCGTATAGGCGTGACTGTCTCCTTGGTTCTACCCAACTTTGCAGACACCCCACTTTGCAGGCACCCAACTTTGCCGACACCCAACTTTGCCGACACCCCACTTTGCAGACACCCCACTTTGCAGGCACCCAACTTTGCCGACACCAAACTTTGCCGACACCCCACTTTGCAGACACCCCACTTTGCAGACACCCCACTTTGCAGGCACCCAACTTTGCAGACACCCCACTTTGCCGACACCCAGCTTTGCCGACACCCCACTTTACCGACACCCCACTTAGCCGATACCCAACTTTGCCGACACTAAACTTTGCAGACACCCCACTTTGCCGATACCCCACTTTGCCGACACCAAACTTTGCATACACCCCACTTTGCAGACACCCCACTTTGCAGACACCCCATTTTGCAGACACACTACTTTGCAGACACCCCACTTTGCCGACATCCCACTTTGCCGACACCCCACTTTGCCGACACCCCACTTTGCAGACACCCCATTTTGCAGACACACTACTTTGCCGACATCCCACTTTGCCGACACCCCACTTTGCAGACACTCCACTTTGCAGACACCCCACTTTGCAGACACCACACTTTGCCAACACCCTACTTTGCCAACACCCAACTTTGCCGACATCCCACTTTGCCGACACCCCACTTTGCAGACACTCCACTTTGCAGACACCCCACTTTGCAGACACTCCACTTTGCAGACACCCCACTTTGCAGACACTCCACTTTGCCGACACCCCACTTTACCGACACCCCACTTAGCCGATACCCAACTTTGCCGACACCAAACTTTGCAGACACCCCACTTTGCCGATACCCCACTTTGCCGACACCAAACTTTGCATACACCCCACTTTGCAGACACCCCACTTTGCAGACACCCCATTTTGCAGACACACTACTTTGCCAACACCCAACTTTGCCGACATCCCACTTTGCCGACACCCCACTTTGCCGACACCCCACTTTGCAGACACTCCACTTTGCAGACACCCCACTTTGCAGACACTCCACTTTGCCGACACCCCACTTTGCAGACACCCCACTTTGCCGACACCCCACTTTGCAGACACCCCACTTTGCCGACACCCCACTTTGCAGACGCTCCACTTTGCAGACACCCCACTTTGCAGACACCACACTTTGCAGACACACTACTTTGCCGACACCCAACTTTGCCGACACCCTACTTTGCCAACACCCAACTTTGCCGACATCCCACTTTGCCGACACCCCACTTTGCAGACACTCCATTTTGCAGACACCCCACTTTGCAGACACCACACTTTGCAGACACCCCATTTTGCAGACACCCTCCTTTGCAGACATCCCATTTTGCAGGCACCAAAATTTGCAGACACCCTATTTTGCAGACACCCTTCTTTGCAGACACCCAACTTTGCCGACACCCTACTTTGCCAACACCCAACTTTGCCGACATCCCATTTTGCCGACACCCCAACTTTGCAGACACTCCACTTTGCAGACACCACACTTTGCCGACATCCCACTTTGCCGACACCCCACTTTGCAGACACTCCACTTTGCAGACACCACACTTTGCAGACACCACACTTTGCAGACACCCCATTTTGCAGACACCCTCCTTTGCAGACATCCCATTTTGCAGGCACCCAAATTTGCAGACACCCTATTTTGCAGACACCCTTCTTTGCAGACACCCCATTTTGCAGACACCCTACTTTGAAGACATCCCATTTTGCAGGCACCCCACTTTGCAGACACCCCATTTTACAGACACCCCACTTTGCAGGCACCCAACTTTGCCGTCACCCCACTTTGCCGACACCCCACTTTGCAGACACCCCCCTTTGCCGTCACCCCACTTTGCCGACACCCCACTTTGCAGACACCCCCCTTTGCCAACACCCCATTTTGCAGACACCCTTCTTTGCCGACACCCCACTTTGCCGACACCCCACTTTGCCAACACCCTATTTTGCAGACACCCTACTTTGCCGACACCCCACTTTGCCGACACCCCACTTTGACAGATTACCTCCCAGTGTAATGGGATCTCCATAATACAGATTTTATCATTTTATATATTTTTACAATGTAGAAGGAGAGACTTCTGCCATATATGCTCGGAACATTTAGTGGAGATATTTGCTATATAATGATATGGTCAAGTCACTGCACATCATAATTGTGTCTGGCGTTCAGGAGGTTGAGTTGTCTCACCTCAGGTTCTCCATGACAATAACCCGTACACGCACTGTGATGAGGACAAACGTGCCTTGATACCTAAAGAAGACGACGGCGAAATTATAAACGAGATATTAGAAGCCACAGCCACATCCAAGAAGACCTCTAGCCAGTACGATTTTTGTACTCAAGCGGAACCAAGCAAATCATGCACAATTGCAGCAAGCTGAACGAATGGTGAAGCGCAGGAAACGTGTTTTATCAGCAGTCCAGTCACAGAAACATAATAGCTGCTGTGATGGGATGCAGTGTCAGTGGCTTATACACGATTGCTGTGAAAAATGGGAAACTGAATGGGAAGTTTTCCCTGATTTGATATATTCCCTGTAACGTATACACCAGGGTCCCAAGCGGTTACAGTCCCTTAACATACGTTCCCCCTGTTTACGCAACAGCCCCATGAGGCATACATGTAACACACGTTCCACTTGTTTACTCCACAACCCCATGATACAAACATGTAACACACGTTCCACTTGTTTACTCCGCAACCCCATGAGACATACATGTAACATACGTTCCCCTTGTTTACTCAACAACCCCATCAGATATACATGTAACACACGTTCCACTTGTTTACTCCACAACCCCATGATACAAACATGTAACACACGTTCCACTTGTTTACTCAACAACCCCATCAGATATACATGTAACACACGTTCCACTTGTTTACTCCACAACCCCATGATACAAACATGTAACACACGTTCCACTTGTTTACTCCGCAACCCCATGAGACATACATGTAACATACGTTCCCCTTGTTTACTCAACAACCCCATCAGATATACATGTAACACACGTTCCACTTGTTTACTCAACAGCCCCATGAGGCATACATGTAACACACGTTCCACTTGTTTACTCAACAACCCCATCAGATAAACATGTAACACACGTTCCACTTGTTTACTCCACAACCCCATGATACAAACATGTAACACACGTTCCACTTGTTTACTCAACAACCCCATCAGACATACATGTAACACACGTTCCACTTGTTTACTCCACAACCCCATCAGATATACATGTAACCCACGTTCCCCTTGTTTACTCCAAAACCCCATGATTCATACATGTAACACACGTTCCCCTTGTTTACTGCACAACCCCATGATACATACATGTAACATACGTTCCCCTTGTTTACTCAACAACCCCATCAGATATACATGTAACACACGTTCCACTTGTTTACTCAACAGCCCCATGAGGCATACATGTAACACACGTTCCCCTTGTTTACTCAACAACCCCATCAGATAAACATGTAACACACGTTCCACTTGTTTACTCCACAACCCCATGATACAAACATGTAACACACGTTCCACTTGTTTACTCAACAACCCCATGAGACATACATGTAACACACGTTCCACTTGTTTACTCCACAACCCCATCAGATATACATGTAACCCACGTTCCCCTTGTTTACTCCCAAACCCCATGAGACATACATGTAACACACGTTCCCCTTGTTTACTCAACAACCCCATGATACATACATGTAACACACGTTCCCCTTGTTTACTGCACAACCCCATGATACATACATGTAACACACGTTCCCCTTGTTTACTCCACAACCCCATGATACATACATGAAACACACGTTCCCCTTGTTTACTCCGCAAACCCATGAGACATACATGTAACATACGTTCCCTTCTTTACCCCACAGCCCCACGAGGAATTACACACGTTTCCCTTTTTCACACCACAACCCCACGAGGAATAACACACGTTCCCCCTTTTTACACCACAGCCCCAAAAGGAATAACACACGTTACCCTTGTTCACGCCACAACCCCACGAGGAATAACATATGTTCCCCTTGTTTACACAACCACCCCATGAGGAATAACACACGTTCCCCTTATTTACACCACGGCCCCATGAAGAATAACACATTTTCCCCTTGTTTACACCACAGCAGCACGAGGAATAGCACACGTTTCCAATGTTTACACCACAACCCCACGAGAAATAACACACGTTGCGCTTATTTACACCACAGCCCCATTAGGAATAACACACGTTGCCCCTGTTTACACCACAGCCACATGAGGAATAACACACGTTCCCCTTGTTTTACACCACAGCCCCACGAGGAATAGCACACGTTCCCCTTGTTTACATAACAGCCCCATGAGGAATAACACACGTTCCCCTTGTTTACACAACAGCCCTATGAGACATACATTTCCCCTTATTTGCGCCACAGTCCTATGAGGCATAACATATGTTCATTTTGTTTACGCCACCTACTACACCTAACCGGTACATACGTCACAGCCCTGTTGATCCATACCCACTCCGTGCGTTGGCGTCAGCAAAACATCCTGTTTGTGTTCCTCAAACGCCCTAAAGGTGTGACATGCACGTACATCCTCAGCTGCTTACCATTCTTTTTTAAAGCATTACATGTCTGGCACACAACAAATGTATTTCGTTAATACAGACAGACGTGGCGAAGGTTGTAGCAGTGGTAGTGCAGGTAGACGTGGTGGAGGTTGTGGTAGAGGTAGTGCTGGTAGACGTGGTGGGGGTTGTAGCCGTGGTAGTGCAGGTAGACGTGGTGGAGGTTGTAGCCGTGGTAGTGCAGGAAGATGTGGCGGAGGTTGTAGCAGTGGTAGTGCTTGTAGATGTGTCGCAGGTTGTAGCAGTAGTAGTGCAGGTAGACGCGGCGGAGGTTGTAGCCGTGGTAGTGCCGGTGGACGTGGTGGAGATTGTAGCAGGAGTAGTGCTGATAGACGTGGTGGAGGTTGTAGCTGTGGTAGTGCTGATAGACGTGGTGGAGGTTGTAGCCGTGGTAGTGCCGGTGGACGTGGTGGAGGTTGTAGCTGTGGTAGTGCTGATAGACGTGGTGGAGGTTGTAGTTGTGGTAGTGCTGATAGACGTGGTGGAGGTTGTATCTGTGGTAGTGTTGGTAGATGTAGCGGAGGTTGTATCAGTAGCAGTGTTGGTAGATGTGACGGAGGTTCTAGCAGTAGTAGTGTTGGTAGATGTGGTGGAGGTTGTAGCCATGGTAGTGCAGGTAGACGTGGAGGAGGTTTTAGCAGTAGTAGTGTTGGTAGATGTGGCGGAGGTTTTAGCAGTAGTAGTGCTGGTAGATGTGGCGGAGGTTGTAGCTGTGGTAGTGCTGATAGACGTGGTGGAGGTTGTAGTTGTGGTAGTGCTGATAGACATGGTGGAGGTTGTAGCTGTGGTAGTGCCGGTGGACGTGGTGGAGATTGTAGCAGGAGTAGTGCTGATAGACGTGGTGGAGGTTGTAGCTGTGGTAGTGCTGATAGACGTGGTGGAGGTTGTAGTTGTGGTAGTGCTGATAGACGTGGTGGAGGTTGTAGCTGTGGTAGTGTTGGTAGATATGGCGGAGGTTGTAGCAGTGGTAGTGCTTGTAGATGTGGCGCAGGTTGTAGCAGTAGTAGTTCTGGTAGACGTGATGGAGGTTGTAGCTGTGGTAGTGTTGGTAGATGTAGCGGAGGTTTAAGCACTAGTAGTGTTGGTACATGTGGCGGAGGTTTTAGCAGTAGTAGTGTTGGTAGATGTGGTGGAGGTTGTAGCCGTGGTAGTGCAGGTAGACGTGGAGGAGGTTTTAGCAGTAGTAGTGTTGGTAGATGTGGCGGAGGTTTTAGCAGTAGTAGTGCTGGTAGATGTGGCGGAGGTTGTAGCAGTGGTAGTGCTGGTAGACGCGGCGGTGGTTGTAGCTGTAGAAGTGTTGGTAGATGTGGCGGAGGTTTTAGCAGAAGTAGTGTTGGTAGATTAGGTGGAGATTTTAGCAGTGGTAGGTGCAGGTAGACGCGGAGGAGGTTGTAGCTGTGGTAGTGCAGGTAGACGCGGCGGAGGTTGTAGCAGTAGTAGTGTTGGTAGACGTGGTGAAGATTTTAGCAGGAGTAGTGCTGGTAGACGTGGTTGAGGTTGTAGCCGTGGTAGTGCTGGTAGACGCGGCGGAGGTTGTAGCAGTTGTAGTCCTGGTAGATGTGGCGGAGGTTGTAGCAGTTGTAGTGTTGGTAGATATGGCGAAGGTTGTAGCAGAGGTAGTGCTGGTAGACGTGGTGGAGATAGTAGCAGGAGTAGTGCTGGTAGACGTGGAGGAGGTTGTAGCCATGGTAGTGCAGGTAGACGTGGAGGAGGTTTTAGCAGTAGTAGTGCTGGTAGATGTGGCGGAGGTTTTAGCAGTAGTAGTGCTGGTAGATGTGGCGGTGGTTGTAGCTGTAGTAGTGTTGGTAGATGTGGCGGCGGTTTTAGTAGTAGTAGTGTTGGTAGATGTGGTGGAGATTTTAGCAGTGGTAGTGCAGGTAGACGCGGAGGAGGTTGTAGCTGTGGTAGTGCAGGTAGACGCGGCGGAGGTTGTAGCAGTTGTAGTGCTGGTAGATGTGGCGGAGGTTGTAGCAGTAGTAGTGCTGGTAGACGCGGCGGTGGTTGTAGCTGTAGTAGTGTTGGTAGATTAGGTGGAGATTTTAGCAGTGGTAGGTGCAGGTAGACGCGGAGGAGGTTGGAGCTGTGGTAGTGCAGGTAGACGCGGCGGAGGTTTTAGTAGTAGTTGTGTTGGTAGACGTGGTGAAGATTTTAGCAGGAGTAGTGCTGGTAGACGTGGTTGACGTTGTAGCCGTGGTAGTGCAGGTAGACGCGGCGGAGGTTGTAGCAGTTGTAGTGCTGGTAGATGTGGCGGAGGTTGTAGCAGTAGCAGTGTTGGTAGATGTGGCGGAGGTTGTAGCAGTGGTAGTGCTGGTAGACGTGGTGGAGATAGTAGCAGGAGTAGTGCTGGTAGACGTGGTTGAGGTTGTAGCCGTGGTAGTGCAGGTAGACGCGGCGGAGGTTGTAGCAGTTGTAGTGCTGGTAGATGTGGCGGAGGTTGTAGCAGTAGCAGTGTTGGTAGAAGCGGCGGAGGTTGTAGCAGTGGTACTGCAGGTAGACGTGGTGGAGGTTGTAGCAATGGTAGTGCAGGTAGATGTGGCGGAGGTTTTAGCAGTAGTAGTGGTTGTAGACATGGTGGAGGTTGTGGCAGTACTAGTGCTGGTAGACATGGTTTGAGGTTATATCAGTGGTAGTGTTGGTAGATGTGGCGGAGGTTGTGGCCGCGGTAGTGCTGGTAGACGTGGTGGATGTTGTGCTGGTAGATGTGGTGAAGGTTGAAGCACTGGTATTGCTGGTAGATTTGGTGAAGGTTGAAGCAGTGGTAGTGCTTGAAAACATGGAGGAGGTTGTAGCAGTAGAAGTGATGGTAAACATGGTGGATGTTGTAGCAGTAGTAGCGCTGGTAGATGTGGTGAAGGTTGAAGCATTGGTGGTGCTGGTAGATGTGGTGAAGGTTGAAGCAGTGGTAGTGCTGATAGACATGGTGGAGGTTGTAGCAGTAGTAATGCTTGTAGACGTGGCGGGGGTGTAGCCGTGGTAGTTCTGGTAGATGAGGTGAAGGTTGTTGCAGTGTTGGTTGACGTGGTGGAGGTTGTAGCCGTGGTAGTGCAGGTAGGCCTGGCGGAGGTTGTAGCAATAGTAGTGTTGGTAGATGTGGCGGACGTTGTAGCCGTGGTAGTGTTGGTAGACGTGGTGGAGGTTGTAGCCGTGATAGTGCAGGTAGACGCGGCGGAGGTTTTAGCAGTAGTAGTGCTGGTAGATGTGGCGGAGCTTGTAGCAGTTGGCAGTGGTAGTGTTGGTAGATGTGGCGGAGGTTGTAGCAGTAGTAGTGCTGGTAGACGTGGGGGAGATTGTAGCAGGAGTAGTGCAAGTAGACGTAGTGTAGGTTGTAGCTGTGGTAGTGCAGGTAGACGCGGCGGAGGTTGCAGCAGTAGTAGTGCTGGTAGATGTGGTGGAGGTTTTGGCAGTGGTAGTGCTGGTAGACGTGGTGGAGGTTGTAGCAGTAGAAGTGCTGGTAGACGTGGTGGAGGTTGTAGCCGTGGAAGTGTCGGTAGATGCGGTGGAGGTTGCAGCAGTATTCAATTCTTTATTCATGTAATGTGTAGGCCAGCGGCCCATGGTACAATATTTGGTCCATCATTAACAGTTATATGCTTAGTGTTTGGAGTCTAACATTCATAGCATGGTATATAAAAGTTGCAACATTTCTAATAACAGTTTTATTGTTTACCGCCATAAGCAAATTGAATTTAGCAAGAGTAGGATGTACAAAATACTTCTGTGGTAAATACTGAAGACGAAGTTCATCATAAGCGTTACAAACTAATAAAAAATGACATTCGTTCTCGACATATCTTTGGTTGCAACTATTGCACAATCTCTGCTCTTGTGGAGTATTAACGTATCTACCAGTCTCAATGTGGAGAGTGTGGGAGCTACAGCGAAACTGGGCTAGTACAACACGAAATTTGTTGATAGTGATAGCAGACAAATACAACTCTAGACTAAATGAATTTTTGAAAAGTGTATAATGGAACATTTTGGAACTATTTGCTAAAGACCAATGCCAATCCTGTTCGCAAGCAAATTTTAACCGATCTTCACATTCGGAAATAAATGATTCGGGGCAAATAACATATTGGTTCTCCCATATATATCCAAATCCAAGGCTGTATAAAAGAGTTTTGACTTTTGTAGCCCAATTTGTTTTACCATGTGTGGCTAGCTGAAATAACATATCATAACTTTTCTTAGGATATCGTGAATTTGGGAGGGACATAAGTTTACACCAATATTTTATACAGCGCTTATACGCAGAAATGTACAGTGGGTATCTTCCACACTCTCCTCGCACAACATGATTGGGAGTAGACGTTTTAACACCTAGCAGACGTTTACAAGCAAGTACATGAATACTTTCTATTTCTTTACAGTTTTCAAAACTCCACATTTCAGCCCCATACAACATAATTGGAGCAATTTTAGTGTCGAATATTTAAAAAAATAGTTTCAGTGGAATAGGTTTAAGTGATGAAAGGGATTTTAGAACCGAGAACAATACCCGTTTAGCCTGTAATGAAGCATTGTAAGTATGTTTCGACCATGACAAATTCTTTGAAAATACAACTCCCAAATATTTGTACGATGATACACATTCCAACTGACAACCACTGAAATACCATTTCTCAGATCTAGAAAGTACTCCACCATTCTTAAAAACTACTATTTTCGATTTATCAAGATTAACTTTTAGGAAATAATTCTGGCAATAGTGTTCGAGTACATCGATGCGTTTTTGGAGGCCATATACAGTATCTGATATAAGAATTACATCATCAGCAAAGAGTAGCAGGAATAGTTGAATTATGTCTGGATGGAGCTGAATTCCGGGTTCACAGTTAGCCTCAATTTCAACAGCTAGATCATTGATAAACAATGAAAACAAAAACGGGCTCAGTACACAGCCTTGACGGACACCCAAGTCACAATCGAATACATCTGAGAAGCTATTGTTAAACTTTACACAGGAACGTACAGTCGTTTATATGCTTATATGCTGTTATATGCTGTTTATAGAGTCGAACGCTTTGGAGAAGTCTACAAATAAAGCATATAGTTTACCTCGCTTCTTCCCCAGATAACGCTGTATAACTGACTGTAAAATAAACATATTATCAATTGTGGAATAGCCACAACGAAATCCTGCTTGCGACTCCACAACTTTATCATAGGCATCACACCAAGACTGCAACCTTCTATTTAGAACAGAAATATATAACTTGCTAAAAATACTTAATACTGTAATCCCTCGGTAGTTATCGGGTGTATTAGTATCCCCTTTCTTGTGTAATGGTACAATTTGGCCAGTCGACCAGGAGATCGGAAAATATGCGGAATCAAACATGACGTTAAACAGACAGGTAATATAGGGAACTAACACATCATATGCGTATTTGAACATTTCAGCAATAAGCTTATCACTGCCGGCAGCTTTGCCTATTTTCAATTCGTTAATTGCCTCAATTACCTCCTGCTGTTCAATTGGCGAGTCTAAGATAGATTGTGTTAAGTCATCAAAATTGTTATCTGGTACAGTGTTATCTTCATCCCCCATTTCTGAATCGAACAACCCCTTAAAATGTGAAAACCATTGCTCAATATTTATATTTGGCTTAGGACGGACAGTGGTAGCTGACAAACGTTTCAAATTTGCCAAAAATATTTTACTGTTATCCAAGTTAGTCAAAATGGTACTCTGTACATTGTCTTGATATAACAGTCTTTTTTTTCACGGATAACATGTGTATAAGTATTTCTGGCCTTAATAGAATTACAACGAATCTTTTAGTGATCGGAAAACCTAAAGAAGCCTATATCTTTCACAGCGGTGGTATTCACACTCCTTATCGAACCATGGCTGTTTACTTCTAGAAATATAAGAAGGGCGTTTCATACATTTCGCAGCTGTACATAAAACATCTGAAAATACCTCAACTGCTTTATCAATTTTACCTGAAGCGATAAAATCTGAACACTTGTCAAGCATTGAAATAGAATTTGTAGACAGTAAACTGTCTCTAAAAGTTTGAGTTTTGTCCTCGTTCCACACAAAGCGGTAGCTGTCCCCTGGGTCTCGTACAACACGCTCACGGTCTCTCGATCCAGCATTGGCACGTGCGTGAAATGAACATGTAACTGGCATATGGGTCGACTCTGTTCTATTTGCAATGTCAAACTGTTTGCACAACATAAACAATGAAGGGGATGCAACAATATAGTCGATTACGCTTGTGCCATTGTGGCTGATGAAGGTATAGTGACCTTTTGCCGCGTCTGATCCACATCGACCATTGAAGATGCACAAACTCAAGGCACTACATACGTTTAGTAATATCTTACCAAGGCGATGAACAGTAGTATCACAAGAGAAACGTTTGGTGATCACATTGCCATAAATATCAGAAGGTTCCTGAATGCCAAGCCTTTCAGCAATATCACTCTCTGCGGCATCGGGCTCATTACCGGTTCGGGAATTAAAGTCACCTCCAAGCATGATAAACATATCACCATATTTTTGTAAAACATCTAACAAGGATTCAAATAATAAACTTATTCCACATTTTGTTGATTTACCCCTGTACCAAGTTGACCCATCAGGATTGACATAAACACAAGCTTCCAATACATCTTTTTCTAGCTTAAATACCGATTTATCCAAAATAACATATATCACATTCTGTCCAATAATGT